CCTTATTCGCGCATGCTCATAGTGCATGATGAGCAGTTCCATCTCAGCACATCGTATTTCTGGAATCCCGGATTCTTGAGATTTTAACAAGAATTTATGGATGTTTCTCCTTTTCAGTCCGGACGTTTGAAAGAAAGACTCATGAGGAGCTAGGATAGTGCATAAAGAAAAGCGAAGACATGAAAGCGGTCAGGAACTGCCTGGATGATTTCATTCTTATGCCACAGTGATATTAATAATAATGTCAATAATAACAACTGTAGAAATCATAGGGTAGTAATAACAATCCATGCTGCAACGCACCAGGCCTGCCGTCGCGGTCACGCATTTTTGCGCTAAACCTGTAGATCGCTAACAGCAGGAATGGTTACTGCGCTGTAGTTTAACACTTGGACTCGTTTTGGCTGTGTTTTGGTTTTTTCTCGCATGCAGGGGAAAAGGGCTTCGGCTGGGATGAGGGCATTGCATTGTGGAGCCACATGCATTTCAGCGTGCATGATTATCAGTTTTCTGCATAAAGCCCGGTCGTTTTTCCCATGAGTGCTCGATGAATGAAAAAATGCATATTTGAAGAGAGTTGGAGAAGAATTTGAAGTCTGCAAAATGCACTCACTTTTGAATTCGCGATAAAATTGAGTATTTGTCATGTCTGCGAGCAGGGGATTTCACCTCAAAGTTGAATTAAGAACACACGTGAATATAGAATATCCTTTCAGCTTTGCAACTTGTATGGTTAACAAAATAGCCATTTTGCTACAAATATCTTTGAATTGCCTTAAGTCATAACGCAAATGCAAGTCAAAGCTCGATTTAGGTATACAATTTTCCATATGAACAACAGATATTCTAACCAACTTTCAACTGCTGTTTTCCGACGAGTTTTCGAGTTAGTACAGTGCCAACTGCGAAACTTAACGTGACCTTATGCGCGATATAAGCGTATGCGATAGCTGGATTTGAAATCTTTAGTTCCAACCTGCGCAGGGAATACTCCTGCAAATTTTCTGCTTTCTT